ATGTCATCGTCTTTATTTAATTCAGAAACATCTTTACAATCATAAAGGCTAAACTTGCATATTTTCAACATTAAAGCCAACACATGATTACAGAAACCAATCTTTCCTGCAACACAGGAACATTGAGCATTTTTGACCTCTGCAGATACAATGTCCAAAGCAACCTTCAACTTGTGCGGTGGTTCATTCTTTTTGAAGCTGTGATAGCACAGACATTTACAATAAAAGTGTTTCTCGTCGCTGTTGGCTAACACGTCTTTTAGGTATTCATCATCTAGAAATGTTTTGGCTCTTCTCATACATGTTGGAACTGTATGATTTTTGCTATGTGGATAGAAGGACTTGCCAGATTTTGAGATATGCAAGTTCATCTCTGCACGAGTAAATAAAGGCATACGACTCAGAGAAGTCGACCAACTGTTTGTCGGGTAGATAACTCGACTTGTATTTAATGTGTTTTCCAATTCGTTAGTATCCGGTTCGATTTCTTGGGAAGTTTGTTTTCTCGCTTTTCTTTTCGAAAATATCTTGTTTTCGTCGGGGTCAACGATGCTCTTGTCGCGGCCTGATTTTACATACTCGTCAACCCTTCAATGAAAAACCAAAACATAATATCAACACAGCGCAAAATCGAGTCCATATTGACACATGTAGAATTTTTTAAGCTTACCGTTTTACGAATTGTGCCTTCGTTTTAAGGCCTTTGCACGAATCACCACGACATTTTAACCAAAAACGAAGCTCGTCCATCTTTAGCTTAGAAGGTATTCTTCCAGCTAAGGAAGCACCGGGAATATCCTCTTCGGTTAATTCTACGTCAAAGTTATCAAAACCTGATGAGGCCATGTTATTTAAAAAATATAAACAATTTCAAAGTTTTCGCGCGAAAAATCAACCTGACTAGCCTCGTTTTCGTGTAACTCGCCACAGTCCTCCAGACTTTGACAGCTCTTTTTCGAATCGGTGTATATACTATCAGCTAATAATATACATATTAAAACACTATATATGATAGCTTTTTTGCTACCTGTTATGGTAATTGCTACATATAAGGCTTAATACAAACACATGGACAATATACTGTACTGTACCTGCAAAATATTATAATGTCAAATACATAAAATGATAGTATCTGACAGCAGGATATAATAGCAGGATGCTGTATAGTTCCGGTTTACAAATTCTTTCGGTTTATTTCCAGTTCTCGTTTTCATTTTCCTCTTACCGCTCAGAGTTCAAACATTTGTGAGAAAACTATCACGATATCGTTTACCAATGGCTACTTCGTTGATTGCGCTGGTTAGACAGGAATTTATTTCTTCGACGAAAAAGAAAGCGGTGAAGCCGTTAGTTTCAATTCTTGGTCTCTGGGCATTGGAAAAGTTGTTGGAAAACTCGCAGTATTACAATTGCCCTGAAGAAGGTTATGGGTTGTATGGCGGGATGTTTTTATTTGGTCCAGCCTTGTGTTTATCCACGCTAACTTTGATGATGAGCAACTCTTTTTGGGATTCAGTAACAAGTTGTTTTCGAGGAAAGGTCGACCGCGTCGATGTATGTCGGACAACCTGTCATGCCTTGATAAAGTCAGCATTGGTTGGATTCATGTGGCTTATACTTGCTTTTGCGACCACAGACTATTTTGTATGTTTTCGTGTTGGAGGTAACCGGTCAAAGAACTCTAGCGAGGCCATTAAAATGCAGAGGCTATCTTCAGTTTTAGCCTGGCTTATGCTTGTTATATCTATAGCACTGGCACTTCTTTATCATGTCATTGAGAAATGTTGTTTTTCCAAAAGTCGAAAATCTACAGGAACAATTATTCGGGACTACGAAAGGATTGAAGCTGAAGCTGCAATTTCGACGTTTAAGAAAGAGGCTAAAGCTCTTGCAAAACGGGAAGGAGAGAGACAGGTTAATGCAATTCTTCATGAGGTTAACGATGGCAAGACTGCCTTGGAAGTCGTGAAAGAAGCTAAGAAATGGTTGATTGATAGGTACTCACGGTCCAACAAAGTGAAGAAAGATTATCAAGTTAATGACGTAAAGTTGGATGAAATTGAAGTTGAAACGAACCTATTGGATACAACAGCATGTGATAGTGAAAGGCACTGAATGCTTTTTCTCACTGCAGAAATTTCTTACTATCTCACAAATATATATTGTAGATGACGCTATATTTATAAATGCCCAAAGAGGTTAACCAGGCAAGTGGTAAGGATCAGAACTGTGATCCTTTTCCCAAGGCGGTCATTTTTCAGCTTGTCTGGTGTGGAGCCGCTCGGCGTAGCGTCATGTAATATAATTTACTAATTCATCTAGTAATATAATTATACACTTATTGAAGTACATTACAGAGTTCAAGAAAGAACCAATTTCGAAGAATATTAGCGAACCTAAGTCGGGGACATGATCTTAATCAGATTTATAAAAATTAATAGACTAGTCTTGTAAACAGAGTCGGGGCATTAAATGTGAAATAAATAAATTAGTAAACAAGCGGTTAGGGTGGAGTTGCGATTTGGGTCAACTGTCAACAACAAGGAATAAATAAATGTTGTCTAAGGTTGTTTATTAAGGCGCGGTGAAACGAGGATGAGAGTTGATGAGAGTTGGCAGGCAAGCATTATTACGGGGGACTTTTCAAGCTTTAGGTTAACAAAATAAAGGTTTGATGAGTGTTTCAACTTAAATAGAATACATGTTATAAAATAACATGTATATAACGCGTGCTCTGATTGGTCGAAACCCGTGTTTGGATCAGGCCATCCAAACACGGAAGACTATCGTGTTGTTGTTATTTTATAAAACAATTACTTTATGGTTTCCGTGTTTGGATGGACTGATCCAAACACTTGGGAATGTTGCTCGAGTTAAGAAAAGCGGGCAAAATCACTCGCCTTCGGCTCGTGATTTCGCTCGCTTTTCTTAACTCTCGCAACATTCCCGCGTGTTTGGATCAGGCCATCCAAACACTGAAACCATAAAGTAATTGTTTAATAATGCACGAGAATCCACGTGTGATTCGTGCTTGATATAATATCCTTATGTTACTCGCACAATTCACCCTTTCCCAAACCCTATATAACGGATTTGTGACCGTAACATAACGATATAACAAAAATTGCCTTATTACATGCATTTATATACATTACTGCGAGAGTGTTGATAAAATGGGCTGAAAGAGACAATATTTTTATACTGCAGTGTACTAGACATATAATGTTCTTGTTGAAGGGTTTGAATCCAGGTTTATTCATTTTTATTGCTCATCTAGATTATATTTACAAAATGTTTAATTTTGTCTAACGTTTCGGTTTCCTCTACGGAAACCATTAGGGAACTTTAGATTTGACTACGAGTACGACTACGAGTACGAGATTCGTCAAGCTAAACGCATGCTGTATGCTGTATGCTTACGCCATCCCGTGCTGACGCTAAAAAGTCGTAGCCGTCGCCCATCTGAGTACGAAATTGTGGAGAAACCTCGTAGTCCTCACGACGACTTTTCAAAAAAAAACAAAGAAAGTTGACTTTTTTTTGTTTTCCAAAAATAATTTGTAGCATTTATATAGCGTTTATCCGGCGCAAATAATATATTAGTGCTAAATATCTGGCCTGTTTTTAATGTTATGACTTATTTACACGTTTTGTAGGGAATTTTAGTCGGCAGGAGATTTACTTTATGAAACTTTTTCTCTAGTTGTTGGTTTACTGTTATAAAAGCAACATTTGAATGGAAACGAAAACGACTACGGTAATTTCCTCGCACGCGATCAAATCTCGTACTCGTAGTCGTACTCGTAGTCAAATCTAAAGCTCCCTATTATCAAAGCGTCAGCTGCATGATTGTTTTCGCGTGCTTTGAGATTCTGCGCGTGCTCGTTTATTTCCAATTAAACTAAAGTATGCGCCTGACACATCGCGGCATATATTGACACTGTTCTTTTCGCTCTTCGTATACCAGCTTTTAAAAACATTCTCTGGTTGACATTTGATGTGAATTCCAAACAAGTATAGCTCCTTCCCAGTCCATTTGGTGGTCATGATTTATGGTGAACCGCAATCCTGTTAATTACTCGTATCTTTGTTTGCCAAACAGCGTTTATGTTCTTTAATTCTACATTCTAGTGTTCTTGCAGTTTCACCAAAATTGCTAGCAGGGCATTCAGCGCACGTAGACTGCTCTTAATCGAGAATTCTTTGGTGTTGGATCTTTAACTTTTGTTAGCACGTCCCATAAAGTTGTGGAAGGTTCATGCGCCACCGTGATGTTGTATAGGGTCTCGTCATGAAGTCTTTGATCATGGTTTCCGTGGAGGAAACCGAAGCGTTAGACAAAATAAAACATTTTGTGAATATAATCTAGCTGAACAGTAAAAATAAATACATAATGTACTGTTGAGGCTGCTTTCAAGTTGCGCGTTTTTCATATGCGTGCGTGCACGCATACACGGAAAAGTTGAAATCCATCCAAATGTTACTGATGAAATAATTAAATGAATAAAAGGATAGCATTTAGTTTTTGTCTATGATTTAAAGTGTATTTATTGACGTAGTTAATAGTTATATAAAATTTAGAAAGATTTCGATTTTCTGGGCGTAGCCGTAGACGCACGCATGAAAAACGCGAATGCAGCCTTGTTTGACTGGAAAGCAGACTTTAGAATTAACACGTTACGTGCGTCGATTGAATGTACATTACTTCCATATTTAATGTGCACGATAAGTAATACTTATGGAGGAGGCGTTTATTAGAATGAATTAAAACATCAAAACGTGTGTTCAATTAACGATCAGGCTATAGGCTGGTAACCGAGGTGTTTTGAACACGAAAGTTGACGAATAAGCCTTTCTCACGCCATGCGACCAGGCCTTTTCTGCCATTTTTAGGAGGCAAACCGCGCAGCAACAAGATGGCAATGTGATTTTGTGAAATAAATAGTACTTATAAACAATAGTACTGTGTTTTAACTTTACTGAATTCACTCTTTTGCTTGTTGCCGCGTCTACTATTCTCCAGTGCAATTTGCCACACAAATTATATTACTGATGCACCGAAACGGAAATTTACTGATATTTCGATAACCGATATTCAAGGGTCGATATTGGCCGATACCGATAACCGATATCGATATTCCCCAATCATGCATTAACACTTATCATAGATATGATAACGTCTTTGAATATGGCTATGTTCAATTTATATTGACACATACGAGTCACAACCAAATTGTTGTGTTAGAACCAAATTGGAATCCAAAATATACCTTAATTTAAAACATATTGTTTAAATTTGTTATAATACAATACCGATAATAACACCAACAAAAATACCGATACCGACATTTAGGGCCGATATACCGATATCGGATATGCCGATATGGATTATCGGTGCATTACTACCAAATATGGCGGACAAGGCCTGGTTGCATGGAACGAAAACTCGAGTATAAAAAGTGACGCCAATATGGCGGAAATTGTCTGCGCGGTTACGCCTGGTTCACACTGGTCGTAATTCATCGGCGATCTATTGTATTCTTGTCCGACAGACAAAGCATTTTACACACCAATGACCACAGGCAATGGAAATCCCCGATTCTTACGACCAGTGTGAACCAGGCATTAACATGAAGCTGGCAAGGAGTGTGCCGAAATTTCGTATTTTGTCTTTTGACATCAATTTATCGAACAACACTATGGTTTTATGAACTGATAACTTGTAAACTTGTTTAGCGATATGGTACGTTAGAAAAAACTGGTATTATCTGGGAAAAAAAATTTTAAACTGATGGCATAAAATTAATTGACCTCTATAGATACTGCATGTGGACGTCAATTCCCGCCATCTTGGCTTCACTTTTCTCGTACTAATGACTGACGTTCTTGCTCCAGATATATGGAGTTCACTGGAGAAAGGCTGGAGATAGGAAATTATCGAGTGGAAATGTATACAGCTATTTCAATTAAAAAGGTTGCAACCTCGTACCCAGGGCCTTTGCGAGGTTCAGAGGCTCTGGTACCTTTGCTTCCCGTACCAGAGCCTCTGAACCGCGCAAAGGCCCTGGGTACGAGGTTGTTAAGGTTGTCCCCCGAGCAAAGCGGAAAAGTCAAATACGAGCGCGAAAGGCTGCTGGGAATCGCTAATAAATTAATGAATTTCGACTTTACTTGAGTGAGCGCAGCGAACGAGTGAGATATCATGTTCAACATGAGAATGAATTTATTAGCGATTCCAAGCAGCCTTTCGCGCTCGTATTCTACTTTTCCGCTTTGCTCGGGGGACAACCTTAATTGAAACAGCTGTATACATTTATTAGACCTAACCAGGAACAGCTGCGAAAATGCAACTTTATAATAAATGTATGTAAATTTCCACTCGACTACATTACCCTTCAACTATTATTCAATCGAGTGAGATGCCAGCAAAATCTTGATATTTAATTTATGTATAGGTTTATATATGACAGTGTTACGGTGTTGATTTCCTTTCTGTTCTGTTAAAAATAAGGATGATTTCTATTTTGAATTCAATATATATTGTTCTTCAGGTGGCAGAGATTTTGTCAGATAAAACAAGATTGTCCATCAGCGGTTGGTTTCATGGTCCTGCAATAGATCGACCATCTCCTTATAAAGAGCTAGCACCAACCAGACAATCTCCACTTCCTCTCAAGGTTAGAAACTTGCAAGATTATTTGTCATCTACGTGAAAAACCTATCTGGTCTTAAATCATATAACTAGCACTCTTTTTTTTTAGTAAAATATACTCATATTTTGAGTGAAATTATACTCAACGTTTGGAGTAACTTTGAGTATACAGCTCGTTACTGCATAAGTGCCTTTTTCTTGAGTAACAAGACGCCTGCTCAGGCGTTCACACTGGCCAGAAAATGGCAACTTTCGTGGTACTGGGTGTAGTGTGTAGTAGAGAAGTAGATAGGGATACAGGATCATAGGGATACTGGATCATATAAATACAACCAATAAATACAATCATGATCAGCAACTATCAACTATAATATACCAAGACGCCGGCTCAGACGTACCCTCCGGCTACGGGCAGCTCAACCTGACAAGCCAGGCCCACTGTAACTATGATCATCAACTATCA